CTTGTCGACAGAAGTCAACCACTTGGGCAATCCAAGTGAGCATCTCGTTGTCACCACTGGTGTCCCCAGAATCAGGTACTTGTTGGCCACCGTGTCGCCGCCGGTAATCGAAGTCCTTTCGGCGCAGTTGTAGCGTGTCGGGTTGACAGCCCACTGGCCACCGGTTCGATGTCGCCGGTGGCTTCTTGTTTTCATTCTTGCAATGACATGTTGTGTCAGTGTTCGCCGCGGCTCACGCCAACGTTGCACGCGTCGGAACGCGACATCGTTGTCGCCTCTTCGTGCGGGTCGTTCTCGTGGCCGTTCTCGATCTCGTTCACGGTCTCCGCGGGGTGCCCCGCGAAATTCTTCTTCTCAAGCAGCATGGTCTCATACTCGTGGAGCACGTCCGGAACGTCGCGGAGAAGGTTGGCGCGGGGCTCCCACGTGTCATGCTTCGGAGAATAACCGAGCCAACGTACCAGATAGCGGCGCGCGGTAGGGACCGCGCGAAGAGCATGACTACCGATGTTACGTTGAACAGCCGAGTTGTGGGGATCTTCGTGGCCAACGATACGCTCCATAATCCAGCGCGCGTCACCTACTGAATCAAATATCGGTGGTGGACCATCCCGCTGATATGACGTACGCCCTGTACGTCCAGGGCGGGGTGGAGACTGCTTCGAACCGTGCGTTGGACGCTCATATTGGAGCTGAGCGGACGGAAGATCGTGCCTGGCGAGCCGACGCATTCTCCGTTTGCCGGTTTGGGTCAGGAATCGTCGCAAGGAAATACCTCTTGAGTCGCCCGACGTAAAACGTCGGGTGGAGTCTAAGTGACGACGGAATGTCCAGAGTGTAGGCGTCGCCTACCGCCTTGGTTACTCGAAAAGGACCGATGAAGCGTGGGGCAAGTTTGTTGACGCCGAGGTTGGTCACGGCGGAAGCGCGGATTCCCTCGGTCGATAGGAGAACGCGATCTCCTATCTTGAATACATTCACGTTCTTTCGACCGTGCTTATCAGCTTGTTCCTTTTGCTTGTCCACTGCGTTCTGCAGTGCGTCGCGGACGAACCTTGCGATGGATTGCCTTTGCATGACGAATTCCGCAACTGCCGAGCAATCGGCAGGAAGCACCGAGGGTTTCGGTGTATAGTTTGCCGTGGTAACTTCTTGCTCACAAATCTTGCTGCCTGGATCGATCAAGTTCTGCGACGTCCATCTCGTTATCGGAGATGCAGTATGCCGAGGAGGCTCGATGGACTGCTTGGACGGAGAACGAGTCAGGGCGTTCGCACTGGCTACACCAGCAGATAACCCTGAAGTCGAGTGCGCCGGCAGACTGGTGAGGCTACCGGTGCGTGCTGAGACACCGGTTCACGTACCGGTGATGACCACGACACGGACACGTTGTCCCTAGAGCTGAGAGCAGCTTCAGCATCCATGTCGACCGAAGGAGGTTCTCCCCCACCAAGGGTGGAGCCGCCAGCATCCGTGGGGTGACCCACGGCGAGAAGTGCCGGAACACGTGGGTGGCGAGCGTTGTTCACGAAGAACGGCGTCAGATCCCGTCGAGAAGTGCTCGGCGTTGTTGAGTGTGAACTCGGCTAGCGCAAGAAACGAGCTCTAGCTCGTGTACGAAGTTGCGTATAGCTGCGGAGAACGTCTTCAAGGACGCGCTGACGCGTTCTGTTTGTCCATCCGTCTCCGGATGTGCCGCAGTTGACATTAGCAATTTGGTTCCCAAGAGCTCGAAGAGGCGTGACCAGAACGCGGATGTAAATCGCGGCTCGCGGTCGGACACGATAGACTCCGGCAGACCGTGGTGACGAAAAATCACGTCGACGAAGTGGACCGCGGACTCTTCCGCGGTGATTAAGGCTGCCACCGGAACGAGATGGACCATCTTGCTGAAACGATCGATGAACACAAGTACACCCGTGCGCCCGGCTGTATCGGGCGGAAGACCGAAGATGAAGTCCATCGAAATGGAGCGCCAGGCTTCCGTGGCGACCGGAAGAGGGCGCAATGGGGCCTGAGACGTCGAAGACGGTTTGACTCGCTGGCAAGTTTCACATGTGCGGACCCACTTGCGGACCCACTTGTACATGTGCGGCCATTAGAAGTCTCTCGACAGAGCCGCGTACGTCTTCTCGCGACCGAGATGTCCTCCAGTCGGGGCGTCATGATACTCGTGGATTATGCGCGCACGTAGATCAGCGTCGTTTGGGACGACGACTCGAGGTCCATCGAACCTGTCGATGCTGTACTTGAGCAGATTGCCGTCCGTCGATATCGATCGATCTGATTCCGCGTGGTCTTTGACAGGGCACTTAGCGTGTCACTACTAGGAGCACGCAGGTGCTTCATGATGGCACCGTATATAGGGTCATCATCGTACGCTGTAGCAATCTCGTCGCCCAGCGGGAGCGTGGGCGTGGTCAACGTCAAGTTGATGCCTGACGACACGCAGACCGCACATTCGTCGTCGTCCACATCAGCCAGCTGATGTCCTAGCGCTTCACGGGGATCGTAGTCCGGACGCCGAGACATCGCGTCGGCGAGAATGTTATTCTTGCCCGGCTTGTAGTGAACAACGAAGTTGTACTCGGAGAAGAAGGACAGCCAACGGGCCATCCGTTGCGACAAGTGAGGGATCTTCATCGCTGTCCACAGCGATGCGTGATCAGTGTAAGCCGCGAACGACTGTTCATCGAGCAAGTACACTCTGAATTTGATCAGAGCGTACCGCATTGCCAGGAGTTCCTTGTCGTGGACTGGGTAATTCTTCTCGGCTGGTTTCAGTTGGCGCGACTGATAGCTTATAACGCGTTCGTGTTCGTCATCATCGAACTGCATCAGCGCACAGCCGATGGCAAAATCGCTCGCGTCGCAGACGACGTGGAATGTCTTTGAGTCATCAGCAAGCTCCAGGATCGGCGCAGACGCCAAGCTCTTCTTCACCGAGTCGAATGCAGCTTGGTGGTCCGATTTCCACTCCCAGATCACACCCTTCTTCAGCAGCGAGGACAGCGGCTGGATCAACCCAGCGTAATTCTTCGTGTACTTGTGCAAGTAATTGGCCATACCAAGCCACTGACGCAACTCAGTGGGGCTTGTCGGCGTTGGCCAAGCACAGATAGACGATACCTTCTCAGGATCCGCGCGTACACCGCTCTTGCTCACGTAGCATCCCAACACCGGAATCTCCGGTGCGCAGAAGACACATTTCTTCAGGTTTGCGTAGAGCTTGTTCTCTCGCATCACCTGGAAGACTTGTCTCAGGTGTTTCAGATGTACGTCCACGGCACTGAAGTTGCCCTCAGCGCGGCTGTGCACGAAGATGTCGTCGAAGTAACTCGGCGCGAAGTCTCGAAGCGGGCGAAGGACATGGGAGACCATGCGATTGAAGGTGGCAGGCGCGTTCTTGAGGCCCTGTGGCATCACGAGCCACTCCCAGAGCATCCCACTCGGTGTACTTACGGCGGTGAGAGGTACATCAGATGTTCTCATCAGGATCTGATAGAATCCATCGGTCAGGTCGATGGCGCTGTAGATGACGCTGCCAGCCATGGAGTCCAGTACCATGTCCTTCCGAGGGATCGGAGTCTGCGCGGGGATGGTGGCATCATTCAACTTGTTGAATGCGTGAACGATACGCCATCCCCCTGTGGCTTTCTTCACACAGAACGTTGGACTGGAATGGAAAGAGGTACTCTCACGCACGTGACCCGCCTTTCGGCGGCCCTCGAAGAAGTCATCGATCGCTTTCACTTGATCACGCGGAAGTGGCCATTGTCTGGTAACGCAGTACTTCGTACCTGGCGCGAGGTCGATCTCGTGCTGAACTCCACGATCCGCCGGTAGCTCGGCGGGGATCTCATCCGGGAAGACGTCGGCGTACTCGCAGGCGGTGTCGTATACGGGATTCGCTGACTCCCGCAAGGCTCCCTAGACTGCGTTTGGAATCGTTCCTCTCGAGCAGACTTAGGTTCAGCACCTAGCGGACGTGAGCGTACACTGTCCGTTGCGACCGCATTTGCTGCCTCATCCACCGAGACTGCCTCGGTGACCAAACATACTTGCTCGACGTCTCCAGCCTTGAGGTCCCGAAGAAAGTTCTTTCAGGACAAGCCTGGAAGGCGTGTGATCGCCGCCGCTTCGCGCGGTGGGCTCGCGATTGCGATGCTGCGCGACCGATTCGGGCCTCCTTCCACGTACTCCAGCGCGCTGACCGATTCCATCGGCGGGCTATCGCTGGTCGTGTAGTCTCGACGAGGTTTAAGACGTCGTCGCTTCGACTTCTTCTTCGACTTCCTCGAGCTTACGCTCGAGTCTGACGCACTGCTACTCGACGATGCATCACCCTCCTCTAGGCGCGGGAGACCGTACTCGACCGGGCCGGGAACACGCGGGAGCCCCTGCTCTACCGCGGCATCGTTTGACGGGAGCCCAATGTGCTCGACCGCCGAATCGTTCGGCGGGAACCTCTGCTCTACCGCCGTCTCGTTGTGTGGGAGCCCCTGCTCGACCACTGTCTCGTGTTGTGGGAGCCCCTGCTCGACCACCGTCTTGTGCTGTGGGAGCCGCTGCTCAACCACCTCATCATCTACCTCGCGAAACCGCGAGGGCTCTTCGTCCAACAACGTAGCACAAGCCATGCAGAGAGGGCCATCGCTCGCTCTGTGCACTGCTTGTGTCGTTGCTGTTTTGTCTACGACTGTGACGTGGGGCCAGTCTCTTGGCGCCACCAAGAGGTGTGTGAAGACCTCGCTCACGTCGAATCCACGTCGACGCTTGACTGATTGGGCCAGCCAGTCAATCTCTGGCTGATATCGCGCAAGCCAAGGGATGCCCAGGATGCAGTCAAACGCGTAGTTCATCTCGATCACCAAGAAGTCGTCCTTGCTACGGAAGCCGTCGAACGTGTACGACAAAGACACGTCACGCCGCGCAACGCGGCGAGCCTTACCATCTGCGAGTTTGACTTGGATCTCGCCCGGACCATTCCGGACGCGGACTCAAAGCTGGCGGCGATGAGTGCCCACAACCGATGCGATCGTGCTGACACTACTGGCATTCGTGCTGGTGCTGTACGGAGGTTGAATGAAGTCTCTGTCCTTGTCCTCGTCTTGGGTAGTTGTACCAGTGCTACCGACAGTTGTGGTGGATGCCGTGTTTCGTACAACAGTCGTCACCTTAGTATAACGCGACGGGATGGTGACGAAATACTTGTTCATGGCCAGACAAAAGCGCTTGCGGTAGTGTTTCGGGTTGAGCACCGTGATCTCGCCCTCCTCCTGGATCAATCGCTTGCCGGCGTGCTCCATCATCTTCATGAAATCATACTTGTGGATATAGTCGATAATACACGCCACCAGCTCCTGTTTCTTGACATCATAGCCCACCAGCATGGAG